CTTCTAACTCTTTCTAATTCTTTTTCCACAGCCTCTCTCTAGTTCCCCTCATCTTTTTCCTGCATTGCTGCTGTGATTGCCTGTCTTCTTGTGGCCTGATGCCCAGCCATCACTGGGTAGCATTCCTTATCCCAAGCCAACAGGAAGAGAGGGATTGAAAGGGGGAGAAGTGGAGAAGGATAAATGGAACAAATGAAAGAAAGAACCACAGCAGGTCTCCTTATATAGAGCGAGATGTTATACATCTGTGAACTGGCTTAGGAGGTGACAAGTAATTTCTACTCTAAACTGTTTTCATACAGTGCTCACTGGTCGTAAACATTCCCTTTCAGTCCTTCTTTAAATAATCACATCCACTTGCTCACTGGCTACAACACTCTCAGTCAGGACACAAGATACCCACACAGTCTGACCACACAGGGGGCTACTAAAATACACATAGCACTGGGGAATGAAATGTCATTTCTTGAAGGGAACCTACGATGCCTGCACTGCTGCTGAGGTGCAAAAATAAAGAATATGCTGAGAAAGCAGAATGGACTCCACCCTGCCCTTCAGCTCTTATTTCTTCTGAGCACTTCAGTTCATGTGTGAGACTTGTAGGAGCATGTGTCTGCAGGCAATACAGAGGAGTTTGTGTGTGTGTGTGTGTGTGTGTGTTTGTGTGTTGTGCCTCTGGGAACTGCTGGCAGATGTAGCAGTCAGACTGTAGGTATAGAGGGATACAGGTTGGCTCAGCCACACTGGAACAGTGGAGCCACACACACTCCTTTTTCTTTCATCCTCTCTCTGCTCTAGATATTTTCATGATATTTCTTTTTTTTTGCAGTTGTCTAATCTAATGTTTTAATCACATGAATGCTGTTTCTTCCCCCAGACTATTACAGTCTTGAATAGCTAATCTATGTTTGCTCTTTTAACTTGTGCTTTTTAACTTATATACAGTATATTTTGTATTTTTGTTTTTATGGCTGTACACATGCGGGGGCCATTGGGCTGGAGTCAAATTCCTTATATTTTTGATAATACTTGATAATATTTTTGAGGAAGTTTAAAATGGTTTGCAACCCAGACTGATCCAAGTCTTTTCTGGATTCAACATACCATTAAGCGCATATATGTAGCATAGTAAATTCTCTGTGTTATGCATTTGATTGCTCTCCTCTCTTTTCTTGTCAGGTCCGCTCGCGCGACCTGCCTCTCTTCCACCTTTCTTTCCTCTGTTCTCTCGACCTGCAGGACCTGCACCTAGCGACTCGTTTGTCGGTGCGCACAGCTTATTTATACCTCTGGCAGATGCTCTGTCGTTGCTGGAGCATTACCTTACTTAACTTGCATACCCTGTAACAGACTTATTTTTGTGGTATGTATTATACGTCATTTTGTTTTCCACGCTGACAGTTCCTGTGCTGTGGATGTCCTTTTTCGTTCGCCAATCCTCCTGGTTAGTCGTCTGTTCACCTGTCCGTCCTGACTCTCCCACTCTCCTGGTTTCTGCCGTTAGCTTGTCTACTCCCCTGTTCGTCCTGGTCTCCTCCACCATCTCTGCCCTACTTTGCTGGTTTCTGTACATGGACTCTGATACGTTGTTTTGTTTGTTACTGTGCATTTCCCACCATTAAACCTTTTTTCTGTCAGTCATTCCCAACCAAAGGGCTCCAATTTACTAGCAGTTGTATGAGAAAAGATTTAAAGGTAGGTTGGTGGTCACTCAAGAGGTTTAGATTTTATCATGCAATATGATCATGGAGGGATCTGATCAGTCCCAAATTCATTCTGCAGCATGACAATGACTCCAAACACAGCCAGAGTCATAAGAACAGCTGACATGGCACAGATCCCTGATCTCAACACTATGGAGTCGGTCTGGGATTACATAAAGAGACAGAAGACACTGGGTATATCCCAATTTTTCCCAATCCCAAATTTTATTGATCCTTGATCCTCATTTGACCTGGAAGTTGATCTGGTCCATTATTTTGAAGGACATCACAAAGCTCTTATTCCTGCTCTAAGGAGTGAGAAGTGTGCCCGGAGGAGGAGGAGCCATGAGGAAGGATCATTTACTATATATATAAAAGATGGACAAACCCTCTGTGATGTCACCCAATGGTTTTGTAAACAGCAGTTTTGAAGTTTATGTGTGGCTGTTGCCATATTGGTAGTGTTTCACTCTGCCTGCTACGGCTAACCCAAAAATGGGCAAAGAGGTAGAGCATGGGTGGAGCTCACTAGACAGCTAGCAGCTAGCCACCTATGGCAGGACCCTCCCCCCGTCACTCAAAACAGCCATGGCCTTAATTATGCATAACTTTTAGCCTCAGTATAATTTAAATGGGCTACAGTTGTCATGGAAGGAGAAATTAGCTTTAGAGACCAAAACCATTTTTGTACTATGCTATCAGGTGGCAATTCAAGAAACTGCAAGTTTTAACACTTCATTTCTCAGTCTCAGAGGTTGTCACTTAGGAAGGCCATGAGACCATCCTTTACAGAATGGTGTCAACATGCACCATTGCTAGAAGTCAGTCAGTGACTGGACACTTCAGATCCAAGGAAATGACATCTCATTTTTGTGTAGACTGTTTTCTTGACTCCTCTTTACTCACATTTTCCCCTTACATCTCTTTCTTGCATCTTACAGTATGGGCGAGATAAAAACACAAGGAAAAGATGCAAGTGAGGGAAATATAGATGCATATCAGAGACATTAGATGTACCTACTGAGACAGCCTAAATCAACAGAAGAACTGTGGCAAGTTCTCCAAGGTGTGTAGAATCAAGTAAATGTTTTGTTTGAATGAACTGCTCAGACTTCAAATCATCTCATTACATTAGGTTTTTAAAGAAGCAAAACTTGTTTATTAGCAGACCTCCCAACTGTTGAGGGTAAATCGTACAAAAATAGTTGAGAACTCGTGTTAGTAAACTCAGAGCATCTTCTGTTGTTATGGGTATGACAGTTCAGATTTACTAGCAGCAACTTAAAGGTCACCAAGGTGGGCGTATGAGCTAAAAGTTGCCAGTTAAAATCCCTGTATAGACTGTGAGAATCTGGGAGCATACCCTCACCCTCCCTTGGCCTTTAGTGCCTGTGAGCAAAACCATGCAACTGTCCCAGTGGAAAAGCTAAAATTACTGAGGATAAAATAGGAGACTGGGGAAATGAAAACAAACAGCAGGATGGTGCATTAAAAAGATGATCAAGTACATGTACCATACTGCATGAAAACAAAGTGGAATGGTCACTGGGTTTATAATCCCTTCTCAGCTTTGAGAAAGATGTTGGTAGAATTGCATGGCAGTGCAGTTTTAAGCTACTGAGAACAAACACGGGTATTCATTTTAACTGTGAGATTTCCTTCCAGCTTCACCTTGTCAGGCCATTACAGGCTCATTCCCCACAGCAGCTATCAGTCTGATGGAAATTGAATTTAGTGAGAGATGATCAGTTGGTAATTCTCAAGCCTTTTACATATGTGTAGATAGACTGAGAACTAGTCTAACCAAAGATATGTGGAAGTATTTACAAAGATGTATAATTAGATCAGTGGCTTAAGGCTGAAATGGAAAATATTCACAGCATAATGTAATGAAGGACTAGCGCTCAGACAACACGAACACATAACACACATCTTAAAATAATTGAAGAATGGAAAGGCATTTTGTATTCCCATCTGTACTTTCCACCACATGCCTCCTTCAGCAAATGATTAATTTAGAGTTTTGGAAAGCATGTTCACTGTTTAGTCTTTAGCTTCCCTGGGCTGTAACCCCTGACCCAACCAGAACACCCCTGAAAACCAGGAGACATCTGCTTATCTAAACCAAGCACCAGCCTCCCCATTATTCAACTCCCTCCATCCTTTCCTCATCAGTAGCCAAACTCCAATAAAAGGAGACTTCTTTTTCAACAGTGCAGACTCAGGCTGGACAGGCATTTCCTGTGGGTGGGATCTGAGAGCAGAGACATTCTTGGGCCAGGTACCTCCACTTCCTGCCTCTGTTAACACTCCACTCTAGGACTTACAGTCTGGATCTGCTCTGGCTTTACACTCTACTCTCATCAGACTCCACGATAACTAGTGTTGCATGTAAACAAAAGAGTAATAACTGCAAGGTCCAAGTCTGCCAAGATAAAGGAAGGAGCAAAACATTGCTGTGAGCCCAGTGTAATGATGTGACACAGACAATTAAGATCCAGTTGAAAAGTTAATGAAAGGAGAATTCCCAGAGAAGTTTAATTTAGAGCAGCGACTAGCAGCAGATGTAGTAGATGATCTGTATCAGCAATAAAAATATTCAATCATGAGAAAGATTTAAGATTAGCATTAAAGTATTCAACTTCAGAAAGTGCAGCTATGGAGTCAATATATTCCACCACAACACCATCTGTATACACTCTCTAGTCTTTTTCTCAGCTGTATTCTCCCAGAAAAACTGTTTCCAGGCCTTTGATGTAAGAGAATATTTTCCTGTATGGGTATGTACATGCATGTTTATGTGCACCATGGGGTGCTGAGAGTAGGTGTTCTGATCAATTGCTGTCCTCCCAGGGGTTAACAGCTGCACCAACTTGAAAAGGTGTGAGTTCACTATTAATGTTGGTGTTGTGTGGTGTAGTAGGGGGTCCTTTAATATCTTGCTTCATATTGTGTCCACTAGATAGGACCTCAAAAGGATGCTTGTTTCTTCATGGCTGATTTAATTCTAATTTTGTAAATGTTCCGGGAAGGAACAATTAATAAAATAAAATCAGCGAATAATGAGTTGACTGAAGTTAATATTAACTCCATCAGGTGCTGTAATTTCTTAATTAAACCGGGAGAAGGAAATGTGAATAAAAGTTGGATGTTTTTTCTTTCTCACAGATTTTGTTATCTTTGCTTGCATCTTTTGGTAACCAAAAACATGAAGTCTGATGTTTCTGTGTCTGTCTGATATATCTGTGTTCATGCTGCCCCCTAATGGTTCGGTCAAATGAGACAACTCTACCCATGTAAAATAGAAACGTTTACCACATTTATTCAACTTATTTTCGCACAGAGAACACACTGAAACGGTCCACATTGTGATTAACAACCCGTCACCCATCCACTTTGGTCACTAACAAAGTAAACCATCTTCAGACTTGTGAGCTGCAGTTTAGCAGGGTCCAGCTTAGCAGTGCTAATTCATCAATGTGCTTTCTATTGTTTCTCACAGAAGGAATAGAGAAGTTCAATCTGCTCAGCGTACTCAAATCCTGGCCTGTGGGAAAAGGACATAATAGTCATGTTACAACTTCTCTACACAACTTATTTTACTGAAGTGATGGCAAGTTTGACTTGTTCTGGCATCTGATAGAGGCAGCCAATCAGAATGGCCAAATCTTCTATTTCAATACAAAGTACATATCTTGTTTATAAAAAGTATTTAAAATAAAGCCTCAACCCAGAACACATTTACTTAAATTTTAAGATACGGTTCTTATGCATGCAAGATAGTAATTTGAATCTAATCTTCTAGCTTATACACTGAGAAACCTCGAACAATAAGGACTAGATTCTTCCTCTATATTCTTCCTACTTTGTGATTTGCATGGTGTTATTGTTTTCCAAAGTTACATCCATATATATTTTATAGATTCCTTGTTTCTGCAGGTATCTCACCGTCCAGGTGTTTCCAGGATCAGAGGGATGTTGTCTAGTCTGGGCTCATTGACAATGTCTCGGAAGGCAGAGATCCCAATGCAACCTTTACCGATGTCCTCATGACGATCAAGGTTGCAGCCCAGTTTACCTACAGTTTATCAGGTGACATAGAAGGGTGTAGCAAATCACAAATTTGCTCTGTTTGTTAATAATAGCCTAAGCATACATTTTCAGAACGTTCTCAAAGCACAAAAAGCAGCTCTATTATTTATTAATAGTCTTGCTTACCGGCATCTGAATTATTTTGAAAAAGTCAAGCTCTACCTTTGGAGTCATTGAGATGGATGGCCCTGAGATAGTGGAGCCCCACTTCCTGATCAAACTCATTGAGCATGGCCTTCACTCCTCCCTCTGCAGACAGATCATATCCTACCAAGACAGGAAACAATACCAAAGATAAACATAAACAACATCTGAATATTTTAAGGCTTCAATAGCTTGTTTGAAGCTTGGACAGTAAACACAGCTTAAGTCTGTAGTATGAGCAAACTATGAAACAGATGTTAATTAGATTTCAGTCACCTGCTGCAAAGGCATGGCACGTATCCAAACACACCCCGACTCTGCTCTGGTCTCTCACTCTGTCTATGATGCTCTTCAGCTCTGAGAACTTACCACCCACAGTGCTGCCCTGACCGCTCATGTTCTCCAGAACTGATCACACAAAGAAAAAATTAAAAAGAACAATCAATTTGACAAATTCAACCAAAATATTTCTCTCAACCTGCCATTACACATATAAGATTGATTTGACTGCTGCTGATAATTCCCGAAGCACATGCAAATAGCAATTGTGCTGTAGCTTCAGCATTTTTGCAGACTTCCTACTGCAGTGTATTATTGACACATCAGTAATATTTGGAGTCAAAAGGATTGCGGTTAGTGCCATGAGTCACAAAGAATGCAGCAATGGTGTTAAGCTGGCAGTCAGTTCTACAAAATCGCAGCTAAGTATTAACAAAGGTCAATCTGAGGCCATAACATGACAAATATCCCCTTAAGTGTCTGGCAGGGTTTTCTGCTGTTGCTCTTCACTAATGCAGTGCAACGCATAAGTCATTCTGGTTTTTTGACAGCTTTCCATCTTGCTCTATTGCATAATTTGCAGTTATACAACTGGCACATTAACACCACTGATGTTCAGGCTGCGTTTAACTCAAAGTCCCTGTCTTTCCATGAAACTCGTTTTTGATCACAAGGTTAAAGCTGACAGACGCTACTAATTAATAATCTAAATCTGACTTGTTGGAGTAGCTTTCTTTGTAATTACACCTTACAGTAGTAAATGCATCAGTCATAAATACAGCAAAATTATATAAAACAGCAAAGGACAAATCTCAAAAATATCACAAATAAGCATGTGTAAAAAGGATGATTGTCATCAACACAGAACCAAATGCACTTAAACAGATGTAACACTATGGATAAGCCTTAAAAATAACCTTTGAGTTATATCAGCACCTCTAACAGTCTGAACAATTTCGAGATGTTTTGAGCATCATCTGACAGGTATTTAGTGTGGGGATAAGTCACAGAATTAGTATACTGAATATAGTTCAGTGGACAGTTTTGTTATTTTGTCCACTCCTGTACCTGTAACCACCACAGGTGTTTGCTGGTGAGCATGATTAATGGCTCCCGCTATCTTGTCCACACACTGCTCTGTTGTGATAGAGCCCAGTGAGGAGCCAGGGTGGAAGTTGTAGAGGTTGAGACCCAGGATGGTGCAGCGACCGAGCTCCTCCACCAGTAAGGCCTGGCTCTTCTCAAACACATCTGGGTGCAACAGAGGAAGTAGTCAGAAGACAAGAGAGGAGGAGATACAGTTAGAAGGATGAAATAACTGATACAAGGCAAGGGCAGGTAAGTGTGTGTGAGAGAGGAAGGGAGAAAAGCCAAGAGCAGAATTTGCAGGAGATTTCTATCAACTCATGACAAACCCTCTTTAGGAGACCCGCAGTTCATTAGGTAAGATCCATGAGGCAAGATGTGAGCTGGGTTAAACCCATGTAGAATACATTGCTCCCGGAACCTGTCTGCAGCTTTCTGGTCCAACGCCGGCCTCTTCCATGACCGCTGAGAGCCCAGAAACAGGGCGAAACTGCTGCCTCCAACCTCTATGCAAGCATCCACAGCTTTCCATATCCCACCTGGGGAACACAGAGGCAGAATAAGTAGTATGAGTGGGTGTGTGTGTTTTAATCACTTAAGGCGAGGACAATAGACCCCACCTTGAATGCCAACATGAGCTCCAATGTATTTCTTATTTCCACAGTCCTTCCTCCTGCTTCTCCTGTCCTCAGCCTCCTTTCCCGCCTGCTCTTCTCCCAAAGCCTCCTCAGCTTTCCTTTTCCTTGCTCCTCTCTGTCTCGGACCCATGCTGTCAAAAGAAGGTTATGAGCTTATGGATTGATTTAAAAAAAAAAAAAAAAAAAAAAAAAAAAAACCTTAAAAAACTAGCGTCTAGCTGTTTTCTAATTATGACTTAGGTGGCTACGTTGTGATGGCTATTAACACAAGAACCATTCACAACGATGCTAAGTTTGACTGTCCAAACTTTATGAAGGTCAAAAAGCCTCTTTTATGTATCCCTCCCGGTGGAAGCAAGCCAGACGGCTTTCACGCAGATGTCAGCGGCTGGCCATTGGAGGCGCTTCATGCTGAGCAGCAAAATGGCGGCCCGTCAACCGACTGACTCAACAGTGCTTTGAGATTTAAATTCTTCTGCACATTAGGGTTTACAATATTACAACGTTAGTACTTACGAAACAGTAACTTACTGCGCGTATATTTTCATTATCTGCCACTTACTTGACTATCCGCTCAGGCGTCGCTGTTCTTGTAGCCTCGACGAATGCCTCAAAAAGCTAAAAAAAAAAAATCGCACTGAAGCACTTTAGCTAAGCTAGCTAGCACACTCGCTCTTCTTCATGTGTGATTGCTGAGGTGAGTAACATTACCTAGGTGTGTGAGAAATATTTCTAAACGTATTACCATGTCATAATTTGTATGCACGACCTTCGCAAACCTGGGTTTGTTATCCATTAAACACAGCTAGTTCGTAACAGCTGTGAGTAACTTGGCTTACCTAGCTAACGTTTGATAGCATTAACACTGATGTAGCGTTAGCATAGCTGGATATGTAGCTCCATGCTCGGTGTATTTGCTCTTAAGGACCGTTGTGTACACAAAACGGAATGGCTATCATACTTACTGGGCTTGACACCTAGTTATCGTTACCTTATATGAGCGTCGATTTGTGTCTGCAAATTTTACATGTGTGGGCAGAAACCACTCTTTAATGTGAACTTAGCCGTTGACGAAATATTTTGCTAGCGGCTGCAGTTAAAATTATTGCTTGTGTAAACTTGTTAGACAGGGAAGAATGTAGTGGGCTGTTTCCGCTTCAACATGGCTTACTTCAGGCGACTTTATCCACCCAGTGTGTATGATTTGCGAGAGCGCTTTTCCATTCTAGCGCAAGCCAGCTCCGAGCTTATAACATTAACGCTTTTAGCGTTAATGTTGGCTAAATGCCAATGAGCTTGAGACAGCGTTGACAGCACGGCAGGTAACATTAGCTATCACAAAGGGTAGCTGCACAGCAATGAATTCGGGTCCAACAGAATTCGCAATAATCAGAATATCTTTCTGATCCACCAGGCCTGAGCTCAGAAATGCTTTAGGTGGGATGTGAGCTTCGTTTCCCGTGAAACTAGGAGCCCTGCCTCCTGGAACGTCTATGGTATTATACGAAAGCGGCTAAAGACGGGCACTGTCAGGGCTCAGGAGCTCACTAGGATTATGCATTCATGTAGCTAGTATGTTCTCTTTGCTATGATTGTGTAAAGTTATCTTAAACATCCTGTGGGATTTTGGTTATTTCCATATTGTAATATTCCACAGTCTTACGTTAGTGCTCTCCTGGCTACATTATAGGGCAGATTCAGTCAAAGGATTAGTGAATACCTGTCTGTCTATATAAGGCATTGATTTCTGTAGGAAAAATAAAACTAATTTATAAATATCTTAAAAGCCTCATAAGCCACCCATATAATAGTAATACAGACTATTTATTAATACTGAAGCATCTGACAAAAACTACTATATTTGTCCATGTCAGCCTGCCTCATGTTCCTTTATGGAGGGTCCTAATGACAATGCACTATTTGGTGTATTTGGATTGCACATCGTTTTTCACAGTTGTTACAGGCCTGATCCTGAAGAAATGCACACACTCCATCATATAAATGGTTAAAGTCTCAGCATGCCTCTCAATCCTTGAGCTGGAGACTCATAGGTACAAACAGATTCAGTCTGCTGACAAGATGGGTTGGTTAACAAAATCAGGCCTCCTATAAATATAGTAAATTTGTTGAATCCACCAGTGTGAGCAACTTACAGTATACTGCATGCTTCTGATAGGGGTAATTACTACTTGTTGCCTACATGTCCAGCTGTATTCTTAGCTCTAGCATCTGATGATGATGATGATGATGATGATCCATCCAATCAACCATGCAGTCCACCGTCACGTACACATATGGATGAGGTTCAGATAGCAACTGTAATGTTGTCGTTTTCCTATGCTTCTGTCATCATTAACCATTAGTCTTTTTTAAATCAGTGATGTACTTCACAGTTGAAATCCAAGAAGCACTCAGTGATTTTTGAAATGGTGAATGCATGCCCATATTTTGGAACATCCTTTTTTTTTCTAGAATAGCGGAGTGTCAGGACAGGAGCAGTAGTTCATGGAAGACAAGAAAAGGAAAAAAGACGACAAAAGGAAAAGGGAAGCCTCTCAGAAGGTGAGCGTGTTCTTTTGGTCAGTTGATTAGTGGGTCTCCTCTTGGGCCAGCAATATACTTATAATAAATGGGTTTTTATGTGTTCTTAAAATATGCAAGGTTGATTGGTGCTTAGATTACTAAAATGTATGCAGGTTGGCCATACAAGCTGCATAAGAAGGCCAAAAAAAGACTTGCTTGTGATTTGTATCTGCTTCCTTCATCTAGGGTGGACAGAATTGAACAAACATCACATACTGTGTTCAACAGCAGTAAAATTTGATAGCGAATTGTATTATTCTTTATTCCTCATAGCCTTAGATTTTTCAAGTTATAGGTTTGTGTCTGCTTATTTGGGGTTGTGTAGTTGTTAGGATGAGTCAAGATTATACTGTATTCATATTTTCCAACTTTAAGGCTGTTTGTGGTTACTTTCCATTTACACTAAAAGAATGCACTTCCATCATTTGTTTAAGAACTGTACTTTGAGGTACATATGAGTTCAGTGACTACAGAGCATGAGCGAGGGTATGTGTGAAAGATACATTAACACAGGGAAACTGAAAAGCACACAAAAACACTGTCTTGTACCAGTGACAGTTTTCACATCCAAGTGTGTTTGAATTACACTGGTTCAGACATAGCAAGTGTCAACAACTACAGGATCTCAAATGGTTATGATGACGTATTTGTTTCCTGGCACACCTAGACTCAGCATTTTTTTTTTCATTCAAACCACAATCACAGTTTCATCCAATGTTTCTTCCTATCTTATACTTTTTCATCTTTTTTTCAGCTCATATATTTATGCTTGTTTTGCCAGTTGAATGAATAACATTTATTTTCTTTGGCATCCTTACTGTGATGCTTTTAAAGAATGTTTTAGTGGCTAATTTTTTTTCTGTTTATTTCAGGTTACACAACAAAAAAACAAAGGTAAGCAGCATAGTGACATTTGTGCATATTTATAGATATGTTAGGTATTTATGTTCACCAAAGTTAATCTGTCTTGTGACACTTGGACATTTTATTTCCAGTTTTACTGTTTTTTTGTCCAAATGGATTGTTATGATTTGCTGTTTGTGGGTATTGTTGAATTTGTTATATTTGGCAACATCATATCTCTGGTACAGTAACCATGCTATATAACACTTGTGAAATATTTCTCAAAATTTAAGAATTCATAAATGACTTCTTTCTTTTGCAATATTTGCATAATGTGAGGGGAAACAATTTCTTTAGCTCAACTTTCACAAACCCAAAACATCCAGGAGTTCTTTCTAGCACCTTATCTGTTAAATGCCCAGCATATGGTTAGTGCTTACATTTACACAAAATAAATTGTGCACTGTTCTCTTAAAATGTGTACTATACAGTTAAATGATGCTTCACTTTGTCTTCTTTATTTCTCTGTCTTTTCCTTCGTGCAGTGCCAGAATTGACCAAGCCGGTGTCAGTCCAGTCTCCTGCCACTCAGAGCAGCTCTGCTTCCCCCAGCCCTGGACCCACCCCCTCTGCCTCCCCATCTCCAGCCTCCTTGGGCCCTGGCAGTGCTGCCACCCCATCACAGGGTGGTAACAATGCCAAGCGCCTGGCAGTGGCCAACGGACAGCCCACCTCCACTACCAGTTCTTCCTCCACCACTGGCGGCACCAGTGCTGCTGGAAACAGCAGTACAAGTAGCGGAGGCGGAGCCCAGGCACATCAACAGCAACCACGCTACATGCCAAGAGAAGTACCGCCGCGATTCCGCGGCCAGGACCATAAAGTGCTACTGAAGAGGGGTCAGCCGCCACTGTCCTCCATGCTGCTGGGAGGGGGTGGAGGAGGGGATGGCCCCAATCCAAACTCGGCTGCTCTCTCAGGTGAGCGTTAGCAGTGAGGCTCACTAAATCTGAACTATTTTGGAAAATAGTCTTTAATATGCTAATTATCAAAGTGTCTCCTCTTGTGTATTATTCACTACAAACAAGTTATAAATGATAATAAGAAGACCAACCCAATATCCTCATACAAGGCCGGTGGTGCTTAGGGAACCTTCAGTGTGGAAAATAATCAGGGGCAGACCCCAAACTATGTTCTCCTCCCTTGTCTCTTCATGACATAGAAACACATACACATGAATTATATGTTTGGTTTTTTGTTTGTTTGGGGTTTTTTTTTTCCAGATCCTGGTGCAGCTGCCTCCTCAATGACCCTCACCTCATCATCAGTTGCTGCTTCTACTACTACTTCTAATTATGCAAATTCCATGTGGGGGGCAAGCTCAGGCAGCCAGGTCTCCTCTCAGGGTAGGGAGAAGGTGATTGTTGATGGCAACGACCTGGAGGAGTGGCCTAGCATTGCTGGCAATGATGGGGGAGGAGCTGCTTTTGCCAGAGCTGGAGGGGGCAGCAGTAACAATGGAATGTCTTTGAACAGCATCAGTGCCTCTGGCAACCAATCCTCATCCGCTTCCTCGTTCTCTTTGCCCAATGAATGTATGCAGTCATCCAATGGTGTGGCATGGGGAACGTCTGCCTCCCAGGGTCACCTTGGAGGAGGGAATGCAGTAGTTGCAGCTGGGTCTCTACTACAACAGCCCTCCTCACTTTCCAAAGCCTCCACTGTGCCAGGGAGCCACGATGCCAGTGGCCCCATCGATAGCAGCAGTGGGATTCCAGGTGCCAACTTCAATCCAAATGCCAACCCTTCAGCCTGGCCTTCTCTGGTGCAGCAGGATGGGCCCACTGCTGCAGGGGAAGGAGGGCCATCTTCCTTCCATCACCAGGGCCCTGGAGGGCCTTTGTCTGCCAACAACTCTGCTTCCCTGGGGCTGGGAGCCAGGGCAGTTGGGGTGCTCGGGGGTCACCTACCTTTATCTGTGAATCAGTCAAGCACCCATCAGCACCAACTTCACCAAATGCAATCCAGAGACAGAGAGATGGGAGGGGAGATGTGGGACAGCGAATCAGCGGGACCAAAAATTGCAGTGGGGGAAGGGAATGGGGGAGGAATGGACCATGGTGTAGGAGGTGAGATGAGTGTGGGAGACCACAGTCTTTCCTCTTCGTGGAGAGGCCAGCCTTCTTACCCTGCAGCTAACTCCAAAACGGGTGCCTCAAGGACTGATGGGTGGGAGGGCGGAGGAAGTGGAACAAGTGGATTCAGAGCTGCTGAAGGGGATACTGGGAACTTGGTTTGGGGGTTTCAGAGTTCTACTAGTGGGTCTAATGCTTGGGGCAGTGCTGGAACTGAGAAAAATAGTAGTCAAACCTCTGGGGTATCTCAGGGAGGGTGGGCGTCATCAGGAGTAGGGGAGAGGGGGGTTTCTGATGGTGATTTGGGTGGGAGCTCTACTGGTATTAGTGGAGTTAATCCAGGAGGAGAGGAAATGAGTGGCACCTGCAGCAGTAACAGCAGCAATAGTGGGGGAAGTGCAGCTGGCATCCCCCCTGGCACCACCTCTTCTTCAACAACAGCCACTACTATGACCAGAGCTTGGGACAATCAGAAAGGAGAATGTGAAACAGGAGAGTGGGGTGGGGGAATAGGAGGACAGGGAGGATCTTCATCCAGTGGTGGAAATTCCAGAAGTGGGAGTGCACCCAACAGCAGTCATGGCCGTTGTCGCCGCCAGACGCCTAATGCTGAAGCTGCCTTACAGAACCTGCTCAGCCGGTCTGATCTGGACCCACGGGTCCTGTCCAACACTGGCTGGGGCCAAACACAGATCCAACAAAACACGCCCTGGGATTTTGAAGAAGGACAAAGTAAAGGTAGATTGTCATCAGCTGTATCAAAATATCCTTCTCAGTATTCTGTTGGACCAAGGACCCTAGTCACTAATTCCATGGGTGCAAGAGTCAGTCCTTCCCTGATTCCATCTGCTGGGTCCTCTGGGGAGGGCTGGGAGAGTAGCAGCAACAGTAGCAGTAGTGGGGCTTCATTGTCTGGGCGAGCCCCACCATCTTCAGCCCCCAACATGAGGAATCTTGGCATCTCACAATCTGGACCAGTGACCACAACAGGACCAGTTATGAGGTCAGGGCTAATAACAGGACATAACCAGCAGGGGAAGGCTTCAGTTTGGAGTGGAGGAGGGGTGGGGGCTGTGGATGAGGGTTGGGGAAATGATGAATGGAGGGACAATAGTATAGGTGGAAATGAACGAGGGTGGGGTGATCTTCAGCAACAGGGTGACCCAGTGAGTGGAGGCTGGGGAGAAAGTCAGAAGGAGAAAGGGACGGGGGGTTGGAATGAAAGGGGTGGGAATGGGGGAGGAAGTGGGTGGGGTTCAGGGCAGAAAGTTGGGGCAGGTAGGGACTGGGGAGAGGAAGAGTCCAAATCAAATAGTGGAGGTAGTGGATGGGGGGATGAAAGGAAGAACAGAGGAGGAAACTCAGGTGGGGATTCAGCTGTGGGTGGTTGGGGAAGCTGGGATGATGCTGCTCCCCGGAGAACCTGGGGTGCAGGGGGCACAGGGGGAGGAGGGAGTGGAGGAGGGGCGATGGGTGTTATGGGCACAGGATCCAAACCCCACCAAAGTTGGAGTGGAGGAAACAAAATGCACCAGATGCCAAACAGCCAGTCGGGCTCCATCACAGGCCCACAGGCACAACAGCAACAATCACAGCCCCGCAATCAGCATCCACAGCTACAGCAAGCGTTGGACCAAGGGGTTATGCAAGGGGGTGGGTTGAGGAAACCCATCCCTCAAGCCCAGAATCAGAACCAAAGCTCAGGCTGGCCCTTGGGGCCTGTCCCTGGTTGTCCCGGTGGAAGTGGAAGTGCATCTGAACCAAGCGGCTGGGAGGAACCCTCGCCGCAGTCTATAAGCAGGAAGAATGAGATAGATGACGGAACATCAGCATGGGGAGACCCAACTCATTACAACTACAAGCAGGTCAACCTGTGGGATAAGAACAGTACCCCTGCTGGCCAGCAGCCTCAGGGTCAGGCCCAGCAGCAGCAACAGCAGGGACCTCCAGTACAGCAGCAGTCTAATAGACAAGCTGCAGGGCTCGGAGGTAACCGAGACTTCAACACCGGCCATGGACCTGGAAAAGCATCATCTCTGGGTAGGACATACTGTGAATTTGACTATAATAATGTGATCTTAAAGTTTTAATGTGTGGTTTTACGAACTCATCAGAAAAGAAAGAAAGTAAAAAAAGAAAATTTAATAAGCAAGTATGTATCTGAACATTGTTTTTCTTTTCTGTCCTCTAGTCTTAAAGTTTGTTCAAAATTCACAGACAACAAAAAAGTGAAGTCCTGCATAGTAACTGCTTGCAGTTTAGTATAAGGTACTTTATGATAATAAAGGTCATCATGCAAATAAATATCAGATTAGGGAAAAATTACGTTATACACAAAGCGGGATGTTTACTGTAGCGTTGACATTCGTAGGATTTATAATCATTCGTTATATGGTAATTTTGCTGGATGGAAAATGGAAAGCATCGATTTCTCACACCAGGTGAAGGAATCCAACATCTTGATATAAGGAAATGATCTTGTTGGTCAGTGATATTTTCCATAAGAGTAAGTTTATGAATCACCTGTGGCAGTTTCACTGGTAAATATGATCTTTATTCATTTTAACATGTGTACGTTATTGAAAGTTTTTGTGATTATCACAGTGGAATGAACTACACAAAAATGCACCTCTAACTGGTGTCTTAAGGGGCAGGTTGATGTATCTGTTTTACTGGGTTAGTGTTGAAGTTTAGTGTAACAAAGCAAAAACCCAAAACCGAGTCATGAGAGATTTAGAAGTTTTTCAGCAAAGTTAGTGCTTAGCCAACATGTGCAGGCATTGATTGGACTTGAATTGAGGGAAATGGTTATAGGCCCCTACTCAAAGGGTCCCTGTCAGGTGGTTCCATCTTAACTTATGTCGTCCATGTGTGTTTACAGGTCCGTCAGGTTGGGGTGGTACTTCTCCAACTAGTCCTACAGTAGACAATGGCACGACAGCTTGGGGAAAGCCTAGTGATACCCCTACTGGCTGGGGAGACCCTGATAATGCTGGAGGGAAGACAACAGGCTGGGGAAACCCTTCTCTCAACCTAATCAAATCTGGTTAGAAAATCATAAAAAGTAAACCATATGTGATTTAAAAAATAAAATCAATTAATTGACTCACAACTGTTACCTGTGGTTAAGCCAGTCTGACCTTAAGAGAGATTGTGCATAGCATTTGGGACACTGGGAGGCGTAATTATTCGCTAAAAAAACACTAGAAATAATATTTGCTTCATATCTAGTAATGGCATTATCTGTTCTCTGCAGGTTCAAAGTCTATGCAAGATGGTTGGGGGGAGAAAGAGGGCTCTGTGGCAGCATCACGTCACTCGAGCTGGGAGGATGAAGAGGAGGCAAGCGGCATGTGGAACAGCACTGGCTCCCAGGGAAGCGGCTCATCCTGGGGACAGGGAAGCAATGGGGGCTGGGGACAGAGCCACACTGGGAAGAAGCCCAGCAGCAAGGTGAGTTGCTGGTGGGGAGAAGTCAATCTAGATAAATTTAAATGGCAAAAAAAATGTAGGCAGTGACAAAAGGCTCAATATTTTGTCCTGTGACCTTCATGTCAGGAAAATAACCTTAAAGGGAATAGTTGGGTTTTTTTTAAGAATTATGTTTTGCTGTGAGTCAGCTATGTATTTTATTCAGCTACCTGCCATCATTTGACACTGACATTTCTGAAATGAGCTAAGCTGAAAAACAATTCAAGGTTGAATTTATGAATTTGTCCCCAGTAGAAAACAATTCTACTTACAGGACTTGTATGGTAAATATTTCTGTTAAAATCCACGTAAAACAAAGTGATCAAACATTCACTATGTGTTTGTCTCCCAGGGTCCACTGAAGACTGGTGGAGGAGACTCATGGATGAGCCCTATCAGCAGACAGTTCTCTAACATGGGGCTACTGGTAAGACAGAAAACATCTAAGCATTTTACTTGTTCCTAGAGTTTTATTGTGGCAGGAAAAAGTCAGACAATGCTTTGTTTTGTAGCCACACTTAATAGCTGAAACCCATGCATCGATCAGGTTGTAATTTTCTTCTTGATCATGATATACAGTTGAACTCATAGGTTTACATACACTTAGATTGAAGTCATTAAAACAGTGTTTTTTTTTTTTTTAAACCACTCCACAAATGTCATCTTAACAAACTCTGGTTTTGGCAAGTAGGTTAGGATATTTACTTGATGCATGACATAAGTAATTTTCCCAACAGTTGTTTACAGATAGATTATTTCACTATATCAAAGTTCCACTTTGTCAAAAGTTTACATGCATACAGTTGACTGCCTTTAAACAGCTTGGAAAATGATAGAAAATGGTGTCATGTGATTAGAAGCTTCTGATAGGCTGATTGACATCATTTGAGAAAATACATTGCCTTGCAAAAGTATTCATACCCCTTGAACTTTTCCACATTTTGTCAGGTTACAACCACAAACTTAAATGTATTTTATTGGGATTTTATGTGATAGACCAACACAAAGTATCGCATAATGGTGAAGTGGAAGGAAAATGATATGTGGTGTTCAAGAATTTTTTTACAAATAAAAATCTGAAAAGTGTGGCGTGCATATGTATTCAGCCCCCTTGAGTCAATACTTTGCCGAACCACCTTTCGCTGCAATTACAGCTGCAAGTCTTTTGGGGTATGTTTCTACCAGCTTTGCGCATCTAGAGACTGCCATTTTTGCCTGTTCTTCTTTGCAAAATAGCTCCAGTTCAGTCAGATTGGATGGAGAACGTCTGTGAACAGCAATTTTCTAGTCTTGACACAGATTCTCAATAGGATTTAGGTCTGGACTTTGACTGGGCCATTCTAACACATGAATATGCTTTGATCTAAACCATTCCATTGTAGCTCTAGCTGTATGTTTAGGGTCGTCCTGCTGGAAGGTGAACCTCTGCCCTAGTCCCAAGTCTTTTGCAGCCTCTAATAGGTTTCCTTCCAGAGTTGCCCTGTATTTAGCTCCATCCAACTCTGACCAGCTTCCCTGTCCCTGCTGAAGAAAAGCATCCCCACAGCATGATGCTGCCACCACAATGTTTCACAGTGGGGATGGTGTGTTCAGGTTGATGTGCAGTGTTAGGTTTCTGACACAGAGCGTGTTGCATGTAGACCATAAAGTTCAATTTTGGTCTCATCTGACCAGAGCACCTTCTTCCACATGTTTGCTGTGTCCCCTACATGGCATGTGGCAAACTGCAAACAGGACTTCTTATTGCTTTCTTTCAACAATGGCTTTCTTCTTGCCACTCTTCTATAAAAGCCAGATTTCTGGAGTGCACGACTAATAGTTGTCCTGTGGACAGATTTTCCCATGGACCTCTTGGTTGCTTCTCTGATTAATGCTCTCTTTGCTCGGCTTATCAGTTTAGCTGGACGGCCATGTCTTGGTAGGTTTGCGGTTGTGCCATACGTTTTCCATTTTCGGATGTTGGATTGAACAGTGCTCCGTGAGATGTTCAAAGCTTGGGATATGTTTTTATAACCTAATCCTCCTTTAAACTTCTCCACAACTTTATCCCTGATCTGTCTGGTATGTTCCTTAGTCTTCATGATGCTGTTTGTTCACTAATGTTCTCTAAAATACATTTACGTTTGTGGTTGTAAAGTGACAAAATGTGGAAAAATTCAAGGGGTATGAATAGTTTTGCAAGGCATTGTATACCAAGATAGATGAGGGCCCATTGAATTAAGGGTTTATGTGGTGTAATCCGCCAATATAGAAGCATCAGCTTAACAGAAAGCAGAGGTTCCCCTTTGGAATCCATCCATGCACTGTCTTATGTTCAAAAGTCACAAATACATTAATATACTAAGGCAAATAATGTACTGCAACTCAAAAGATAAATTAATCCCAGTGTGTCAGGTTTAATGGCCTGAATAGTCCAATTGAAAAAGCGTGTGCGAGCAAGGAAGGCCTACAAACCTAACTCGGTTCCGCCAGTTCAGGAGGATTGGGCTAAAATTCCAGCAGCTAATTGTAAGAAGCTTGTGGAAGGCATCCCGAAACGTTTGACCCAAGTTAAACAGATTAAACGTAATTCTACGAAATACTAACCAAGTATATGTAAATCTCCGACCCACTGGGAATGTGGCGAAAGAAATAAAAGCTGAAATAAATGTTTTGTCTATTGTTCTGACATTTCACATTCTTAAAGCAAAGTAGTGATTCTAACTGACCTAAGACAGGGAATGTTTATAGGATTAAGTATCAGGAGCTGTGAAAAACTGAGTTTAAATAGTATTTGGTTAATGTGCATGTAAACGTCTGACTTCCAACTGTAGCTGTTAGTGATGGTGGCCTTTTCTGCTGCACAGAATGATGATCCCAGCAGCCCAAACATTGACCTGGCTCCCGGATCTCTCCAAGAGAAGAAGATGGAGGCAGAGAAAAGAGCCATGGGAATGAATGATTACAATGGAGACATGCGAAAAGTAGGAAGAGGAGGAGGGGGCATGTCTTATCGGCCACCTGGTCCCAAAGAGACAGCACCTGCAGATGCTGGGTCCTACTATGACAAGGTAACACCTCACAGCCTCCACAGCAGCCTGTCTTTTATGTCTATCTCATGTTTAGATAACACTGTCTTTTATCACTATTCTTTATTTCCTCTTGTTATTCTGCCTGTTCTTCCTTGCCTCAACCCTCCTATGCTACTGTTCACCGCCACTCAAATTGATCTTTTGTTGGCTGTCACTGTTGACAAACCTTGCCTTTGACCAATCAGGATGGGTGCCTTGGGGAAGAGGGTCCTTGCTCTCTGTACTCACCACCCACAGTCTACAAGCCCCATTCCCTCTTCAACCACACTATCCCCTTTAGACAAGTAAGATAACCTCTCCTCCTGTTTCTGTCTTACCATCTTTACATTAGCCCCTTGTATTTTTTTTGTTTGTTTGTTTGTTTTTATGCAAGTGTACCCCCATCTTTCCCTCCTCCAGTTTAATGATACATTTATCTATGTTAGTTTGTCTTGTCAGTTTCTGTACTGTTGTGGGTGCTTTTTAATGTTTAATGTTTTTAATCTTCATTCATAGGGAAGTCATACTATCTTTGGTAGTGGTGGAGGGATGGCTCAGTCAAGACATCAGCCGAGTGTCCCACCCATAAACCAGTCCCCAGGGATACGAGCGCAAGTGCCTCATCAGTTCCTGTCACCACAGGTACTAGGGCCTTTGCTTTCAGTTTTCTTTTAAGCTGATGATGTGTTTCACACTTTGCACTGACACAGGAAGTATGTGGGTGTGCTGTTGCTGTAACACAGTATTGGTTGTGAGCCGAGTCATCTTTACTGTTTGTCTGTTGCTATGAAACCAATAAAAAAAAAAAGCAAAATCACTTCAGTTTGGAATTTTTTTCAACTTGTTGCAGTGCACACTGCTGCATTCTTGCTTGTATGGGCAATTTCTGTGGCTGTTGTTATGATCATCTAGTGTTAGCCTCTTGTAAAATACTCAAAGGACTAAAGGAAACCACCATGGGAATTGCTCCTGCTGTATGTTTACAGCCTGTATTGTCACATGTCAGATATGCAAGATGCCAAGAGGAGATAACTCAAATAAATAAGATACACCTGTTCTTGATGACATTTGTAACTTCGTGGATTGATTTTAAGAAAAAAACTTGATGGAGAAACTTGCGCACTACCTCCAATGTGGGATCAAAAATGTACATTGAAATCATGCATGGGGCTGACTGCTTACTTCAGTGACTTGTCTTTGTGTTGTTTCTGATGTAATGTGTAATTGTCTGATTCTTCTTTCCATGAGTGTGGTCTGCTGACTTGTGTACTTTTAGCCTATTAGTCAGCACAGTCCTTAGAGTGCATAATCACTCACACTGATTGTTTCTTGCTTGCTTCTTAAAAAAAAAAGTATGAATTGATTCAGTTTTATTCCCTCACTTGTCTAGTTACCTAACACAAGCTAATGAGACCATGAAAAAGGATCAGTGTTAATTAGGGACGGGGAGCAAGGTAATTTTGTTTGTGATTATGGAACCATAGTGTTTCTTTAGTAACAGGTGTGCCTGCTTGCCGTTGTGTCTGTCTCCAGGTGCCAGGCTCTGTGCTGAAGCAGGTGCCACCTCCCAGTGGGAGTGTGGGGGGTGTTGGCAGCGTGGGAGGAGTGGCAGGAGCCGGGGGAGGTGTGTTCCCTCCGCAGCTGTCCCCCCAGCATATTGCCATGCTCAGCAGCATCTACCCACCTCACATCCAGTTTCAGCTGGTGAGAAGCAGCACAATACATCTTTGAAAGCCACTGCAAGTTTCAGTTCAATTCAGTTTGTCTTTTCAGAAATCATTGTGTCTGTGGCAATTGTCACAAGTATATTACAGATTCATGTATACATTATACATTAACACAACACAGATGAGAATACACACCCCATCCAAACATCATACATATCACAGAAAACCACAGTCATTCACAAAATGTGTTCAGCAGTTTTACACTGGAGGGTATAAAAGATCTCTGGGCATGTGCAGTCCACAACAGCAGCATCCTGTACCTTCGTCCACATGGTGACAACTCGTATTCACGATGCAAAGGATGTGATATGTCCCTATCCGCATCAAACTGTCAAAGCTTACACATGAAATATAATCATTGTAGCCCCTTCTTATAAAGTTTATTAAAGTCTCATGATAGTTTTGCATTAATAGCTACCTCAAGATCTATTCAAAACTTCAATACAGTTCCCATTAACAGCTATTTGCTGGTGCCCTACTTTTCTTCTAAAATCAAAGTTAGTTTTCTTGGTTTTCTTAGTATTAAGATACCGAGAACTGGCCTGACACCAGCCAATAAAGTTATCCACATTTCCATCACAGTTTGGAAATGTCACAAGAAGTTTTGGAATAATGCAAAATATATTTGTACAGTTTTTCAATAGCCAGAGCATTCAGACCGAAGCATTTTTAGCATTGATACCTTCATCAAGACACATGCCACAGAGAAAGTCTTCAATCCAAATACAATTCATCTCTCTATTCTCCCTATATTAACACACCTGATCTTATCTACCTTTTTAAGAGCGCTCGTATTCATTCTCAAGGCAATGTTCAGGTGTAAGTTCTTGTATATGTTTAGTTGTTGACACTTTTCAACATTTCTCATTTTCCAGTACTTCCCAGAGTAAGGGAGGCATAATGAAAAGGAACTTCACACAATGTATAATCTTCTATCTTGACTCTGTATCTCTTCTCCCTAGCTCCATCCTGTGGCAAACAGGCTGCACCTGTTTGCCACAGGATGTATCTAGTATCAACTTAAATCATGTGGCTTGCATCTGCAGAATAACCAGGCACCTCACGATATTAGATAAGCACACACACTTGGTCTACATAGTAAGACAACATGTTAACACACAGTTTCTACACATTTGATGTCTTCACAACACTAATATAACAATTTGAATGAAACTTCTCTTAGTGATTGTTAAAGTTAATATTTAGGTAATGACCAGAGGAGGCAAAAATTAAAAAAGAGACGCTTTGTTAGTTGACAAATGGGTCTGTCAGTGCAAAGCCTGAAAACTGCTGTGCAGAGTGCATTTTTGTGTCTGCTGCTGTCTCACCCCTCCTCTGTTTTGTTCTGTGTTGGTTCAGGCTTGTCAGCTCCTCCTCCAGCAGCAGCAGCAGCCGCAACAACAACAGCAGCAACAGCAGCTACTGCAAAACCAGAGAAAGTTCATGCCGAATTTGCGGCAGCAGGCTGACCCTCAGCAGGTACACACGCAGCGTATCACTCATTGCTTTGTTCACTTCCTGCTTCATCCTCCAAGCTGCTGAGTCTTGTTCTGTCATATCCCTTCAGTTGGCCAGGATTATGGCAGTGCTCCAGCAGCAGAGACAGCAGCAGCAGGCTGGGGTTTTAGGTGGCAGCTCCAAACTCTCCCCCTCCCACCATGGTGGAGGTGGGGGAGGGGGTCCCAAACTGCCCGGCCCTGATTCCTTGCCCCACTCAGGCCTGGCAGGATCTGTGGCTGACTTGCACCAGAAAACTCTTGGACCGTACTCTGGTGAGTGATTGTTCCTACACTGTTTATGTTGTTTTTATCTAAACTGTGTGTATATACATGTATATTTCTATATTTAAAAGTACTATAGATTTTATTTGAATGCACATTCCTTTTTCTTGTTTGCACACTTTTTCTTTTCTTGTTCTCTGTCTTGTTTATTTGTCTACTCATTGCTTTACAGAAGAACATTGTACATACACATTGAGTCACTGTACCAGAGTCACATTCCTCATGTGTTCAACACACCTGGCCAACAAAGCTGATACTGATTCTGAAAAAGCCACTTGTGAAATATGAGCTCACTCATGCTAGTGTAGCGCATGTACTACATCTTCCAGAGAATGCCTGCTAAGCCACAATCAGTTTAGCACTTTGACATTGTTGTTCAATTTAGAATAGGTTGCAATATCATTTTTTCATTAACTGATGTAACCAGATAAGTGTTCAAACATAATCCTCTTTGTGTTGGCCTCTGTTCTCTTTGTCACTGCCTGTGCACAGCGTTTGGTTCTGGGATGAGTCTCTCAAGTGTGGACATGGGTGGCTCTGTGGTGGGGGCACCTGGGGGCATGAAGGACCTTGGGGGTCAGCAGTCCCGCTTCAAATGGATGATGGAGGGCCACTCTTCACCAGATACATCCTCACCTGAAAATGCATTCCACAAAAACGGTGAGCTGCAGCTTTTTTTTTATTTTTATTTTTAAATAATACAAACTTTGTGTTTGAGAAGACATGAAATGGAAGGGGTCTGAGGCAGATACATTACTAAGCACACAATAAGGTGATTTGTGAACCTATTTTTTGTTCAATAATCTAACATAGATGATCAGTACCCTCTAAAACCTCCCAGGTCCTATCACCCCCATAAAGATGCTAGGGGGCTCACCCTACTCTCAGTACGACATGATGGTTGGAGATGGTTTCGGTGACAATTGGCATCGCACCCCTGGCAAGATGGTTACCAAGCCTACCACCACGCCCAGCTGGCCCCCTGGTTAGTGGCAACTGAACAGTTACTGAGATATGGGCTGAGATAAAATAAAAAAATCAAGGAAGACAAAATATTTAGTGTTTTCGTAGCCAGTACCTGGATAATTTAGGAATGTATGATGCTACACTCTTGCCTTTAAGAACAGGCTTCAACAGAGCACTGTGTGTTCCTTCTTTAGAGTTCCAGCCTGGTGTGCCCTGGAAGGGCATTGACCGTGTCGACCCTAAATCTGACCCCTACATGACCCCAGGGAGCATGATGGGAAATGCGGTATCTCCTAGTCTCAATGATACTGAGCACCAGTTATTGCAAGACAATACTGGTAAGCATTTGACAGCTCCACTGCTTCCTGGTCCTGCCCGTATTGTGTATGATGATACTGCTTTAGTACAATAGTATTTAGCTGATAGTTTACTGTATTTTATGGTTTGATTTAAGATGTTTTACTGATCCACTTTTGTGTTTTATCTTATTTAGTTTTCATGGATTCTGTTTGTTTTAATAGGTTAGTTATTCAATGATGAAATAATGTCCAACACTTGTTTGATGCCTATGTCTGCAGACGCCACCCCTCCCCTCAACACCTTGCTGCCTTCACCTGGTGCCTGGCCCTACAGTGCCTCAGACAGTCCCGTCAATGCACACAACTCAGGTAACCACACGCAAAAAACACAAATCGTCTCATCGCTGGGCCAGTGTGTTGCTTTGCTTGACTTTGTTTGTCCCCTTCTTCTTGATGTCTTTATTTAATTCTTTTTCAAAGTACAAGTGATGAAATATTTGGCTACTAATGAGCCATGTAGATATGCAGTACATCTACTACTTGGCTTGCATTTGATAACTTGCAATTACTGAACCTCAAATCACTAATGATAACTGTAATACTGAAGCATTTTGGTTGTATTTCAGTCAAAATTGGACTGCATGCACCACCACCAAAATGTGTTTTAATAGGTGGAGAAGGGTATTGCTGGAGAAGTGCATGTCTCTCACAGTGCAAGTTATGTGAATGTGTCAAACAGAGGGAAAAAGATGACCTTATTTTTACCCTCAGGTTGTCTTGCTTTTCGCTGGGTGTCAACTCACACAGCCACTATTATTGCTACATAGTGATGTATACATGGATAGGATCCCTCCAGTACCTCATTCACTTTTCTGTCTCCCTGCAGCAAAGTACACAGACTACAAGACCAGCTGGCCCCCAGAGCCCATCGGACACAAGTCCTCATGGAAAGCCAACCGTGGCAGCAGCCAGACCCAGCTGTCCCGCCCACCTCCAGGGCTAGCCAGTCAAAAGCAGCCATCACCTTCCCCTTGGTCAGGAGGAACCCCTCGATTTGCTGGCCGAGGCTGGGGTGCTGGCTCGAGCACCACTGGTAAAAACCCTAAAGCATTTCTCATCTTTTTGTGACAATGTTATCCCTTTTTCTCCATCAGGCACAGCACTTGTTGAAATATTCATCTGATTTAAATGTACACATTGATGTAACACAGCACTCTTTTGAATTTAAGAGTCCATTTATATTTGATTTGAAGAGCAGTCAAGCTTTACAGCATTATTCATCATTTATTACATTTGAGAAGCTGAAGGGAAAATAGGGTCTTAACAGGGAGTACGGAAAACACAAATTTTTTTTTTTCCTGTTTGTTCTCTCACTGTCTGCAGGGTCGACCTGGAGTGACTGCAGCTCTCGGGAAAGCTGCTGGTTGGTGCTCAGTAACCTCACACCACAGGTACACACACGTACAGATTTTATGAAAGTAACTCCTACAACTACTGTGGGGGGAAACCTGTGTAAAAGTTGTCTTTAGTTTAGGCTGTTCGGGTGTTTTTGTAAACATCTAGAACCGTAGCTGCTCAGACTGGCCTCCTTAATTTCACTTCACATGTGCACTAATCATAAATGGGTCAAAAAAGAGTTGATCCAAATGGAAACATTAACACCGCTCTGAATTCCATACCTCAGCCCATCATGCTAGTTTTAAGTTCACCACTGTCCATCTTGTATATTCTTGCAGATTGATGGCTCCACTCTGAGGACCATCTGCATGCAGCACGGCCCCCTGCTGACCTTTCACCTTGGCTTGACCCAGGGCACTGCTCTGATTCGCTATGGCTCCAAACAGGAGGCAGCCAAGGCCCAGAGTGCACTCCACATGTAAGACTCAATCTGCAGGTTTCATAACATCTCTAATATAACTCTGTCTGTACAGTAACTGTCTAAGTGGAGCCAGTAGTCAGTTTTAGCTTAGCATAAGGACTGGAAATTGGACCACAGCTACCCTGGCTTTGTCCACAGGTGACAAAATTTGCCTATCATCACCTCTAATGTTCATTAATTAATGCAAGCCTACAAACCCGATTCCAAAAAAAAGTTGGGACACTACAAAATGTGAATAAAAACAGAATGCAATGATGTGGAAGTTTCAAATTTCAATATTTTATTCAAAATACAACATAGATGACACATCAAATGTTGAAAGTGAGACATTTTGAAATGTCATGCCAAATATTGGTTCATCTTGGATTTCATGGGAGCTACACATTCCCAAAACGTTGGGACAGGTAGCAATAAGAGGCTGGAAAAGTTAAATGTACATATAAGGAACAGCTGGAGGACCAATTTGCATCTTATCAGGTCAATTGGCAACATGATTGGGTATAAAAAGAGCCTCTCAGAGTGGCAGTGTCTCTCAGACATCAATATGGGCAGAGGATCACCAATTCCCCCAATGCTGCGGCGAAAAATAGTGGAGCAATATCAGAAAGGAGTTTCTCAGAGAAGAATTGCAAAGAGTGTGAAGTTATCATCATCTACAGTGCATAATATCATCCAAAGATTCAGAGAATCTGGAACAATCTCCGTGCGTAAGGGTCAAGGCCGGAAAACCATACTAGATGTCTGTGATCTTCTGGCACTTAGACGGCACTGCATCACATACAGGAATGCTACTGTAATGGAAATCACAACATGGGCTCAGGAATACTTCCAGAAAACATTGTCGGTGAACACAATCCGCCGTGCCATTCACCGTTGCCGGCTAAAACTCCATAGGTCGAAAAAGAAGCCTTATCTAAACATGATCCAGAAGCGCAGGCGTTTTCTCTGGGCCAAGGCTCATTTAAAATGGACTGTGGCAAAGTGGAAAACTGTTCTGTGGTCAGACGAATTGAGATTTGAAGTTCTTTTTGGAAAACTGGGACGCCATGTCATCCGGACTAAAGAGGACAAGGACAACCCAAGTTGTTATCAGCGAAGACCTTGCATCTTCCAACAGGACAATGCCAGACCACATACTGCATCAATTACAACATCATGGCTGCATAGAAGAAGGATCCGGGTACTGAAATGGCCAGCCTGCAGTCCAGATCTGTCACCCATAGAAAACATTTGGCGCTTCATAAAGAGGAAGATGCGACAAAGAAGACCTAAGACAGTTGAACAACTGGAAGCCTGTATTAGACAAGAATGGGACAACATTCCTATTCCTAAACTTGAGCAACTTGTCTCCTCAGTCCCCAGACGTTTGCAGACTGTGATAAAAAGAAGAGGGGATTCCACACAGTGGTGAACATGGCCTTGTCCCAACTTTTTTGAGATGTGTTGATGCCATGAAATTTAAAATCACCTTATTTTTCCCTTAAAATGATGCATTTTCTCAGTTTGAACATTTGATGTGTCATCTATGTTGTATTCTGAATAAAATATTGAAATTTGAAACTTCCACATCATTGCATTCTGTTTCTATTCACATTTTGTACAGTGTCCCAACTTTTTTGGAATCGGGTTTGTATATCAAAATTATCTGGAGTCATACAGATCATCACTGTATTTCGTAATACTGTGTACTAGCAACTATTAAATCATGAAATAGGTTGAAATCAGTATAATAGAAAACATAAGAATTTGTATCATTTGCCATGTCTTTAGACTATAGCTTATTGTAAAACTCAGTAAGTTGTTCATTATGGTTCACAAGGTAAAAATACAGTTTAAACTTTTTAAAACCTGTGTATCACATTTACAAGTGACTGACAGAGTTTTGGATTATACCAGGTGTGTTCTGGGCAACACCACCATCTTGGCAGAGTTTGTGAGCGAGGAGGATGTGGCTCGCTACATTGCACATTCCCAGGCTGGAGGAGCAGGGAGTGGAGGAACCACACCTGGTTCTGCAGGCTCAGGGGCTACAGCAACATCTGTGGTGGGGCCTAGCAGTAATGGAGGGAGCTGCGAAAGAGGTGGAGCAGGAGGCAGCAGTGGGGGAGGAGTAGTTGAAGGAAGTTCCACAGCTGGAGGAGCAGGAAATGGGGCTACCAGCTCTGGGTGGCAGAGTCTGGACAGCACAGGCAGCACATCAGACCAGTCTGCCACCTCTGGGTCCGGTCTGGGCATCTTTGCCCAGTGGAGCAGTAATGGAACCGGTGTGGGTGGGGCTGGAGGTGCAGAGGCCGGAAGCCAGGGTCTTTGGAGGGGGATAAGTGGAATGAGCGTGGCGGGGTACCCCAGTAGTAGCCTCTGGGCTTCTCCAGCACTGGAGGATCGCCACCAGATGGGCAGCCCTGCCTCACTGCTGCCAGGGGACCTGCTGGGTGGGGGGGCGGACTCCATCTGAGTGTCAGACTGATACACAATTATACATTTTACACATAAGTTCTAATACATATGTCACTCCTTACTTTATTTACATGCACAGATTACATTAAAACTACACTGGTCATCCAACACAGATTCATATTCCACACAAGCTACATGCACACAATTTACATTAAACCACTTAACTTTAAATGAAGGCAACAGTAAAACTTGAACTGGTGGAAAAGGTGAAATCCATTAAACTCTTTAGGACTCAACTGGATAGCTCTCTGTGTGTTACTCCAAATCCCACCGTCTGCATTCAGAGACCCAAACACTCAGGCATGCACTGTAGAGAGGCTCAGCCAGAGTCGTACATGTCAAGTTTAGCTATTGCTGTTTTTAGTGTGCCACTTTTTTTTCTTTTGTATTACTATTTAATAGTCAAATCTCAAAAATCAGACTTGCAGACTGAGCCCTTGTAGACCTGGCTGGCGAACCTCTGAGTTCTCACGTTTGGAAGCTTGAGAGTGGGGAAGGATCTGGAGCTAGTACAAAATCTGTGACGGCACCACACTACTGAGTCAAATGGATGATCAGCGGCCTTTGAGATCTGGAAAGGAGAGCGTTTTTAGTAGGTACTGACACCTCTACCTTGGTGGAAATACGCCATCAACATTGGTACCCAGGGTAGGAAAAAAAAATCTAAATGAAAACAACATTAGCCAAACTTGCACTATATGTCTCTGGGTTTGTTGTTGACACATCCTCCACAAATCCCTCCATTTTTGAAACCGACTACACAGACCTTACAGGACAACTAAATGTTACAACAGCAGTTGCCTTGGCTAAGACCGAGCAGCCGGCCACCCACCACGTCAGCAGCGTCACACCTTCTCATCAGTTGCACACTGCTCTTGTATTTCAATAGCAAAATTTCTTGTTTGATGTAAGTCAGTTATTTTTTTTTTCTGTTTTAAAAAAGCGAAATGTGGGAAACTTTGTGGAAAACCCGAGAAGTCTTTTTTTTTTTTTTTTTTTTTTTTGCCCTTCAAACACTGACCTCGCTATTGTATTTTTTCTTACTCAAGAAATCAAATTGGTTATATATTGTCATAACGTTAATGATAACTATGATCACCTATTTACTCACTGTACAAGGTGCCCTCCTTGCCTGCCTGTTTGTGCATGAAAGGAGTGTTGACAGTATAACCGAATGGAAGAGGATGTGATGAAGGTGATGATAATGGAAGTGTGTGTTATTGCTACAATGTTGAATGTTTTATTTTCCCTTTATTATCCATGAGAGATTCATGAGAAATGTTTGTGTGTGCTTGCTTTTGAACAGTGAATGAATAGATGTTAATCTGACAGCTTGCTTTGGAGAGAAAGCGTCTACGTGTGAATGTTTACAAGTTTGCGTGCTTGACTGTCTGAATGTTGTGATGCCTAAAAAGTTCAAAAACACTGGCACTCTTACATATGTCTGAAGATGTTTTTTAGCAGCATTTAGTTCCTGTTTGTATTTTCTGTTTGATCAAATGCAATAAGAATTATGTTTTCTTTTTAAGACAAACCAGTTGAAGGCATTTCTGTTAATATGCCAAATCCTACCATACCAAGCTGAGCTGGAACAGTGTTTTACAGACACGTTAAAGACATTACATATTGTTTTGTTTAGGTTTTGTTGTTGTTTTTTGTTTATGTATGAATTTAAATTAAGTCAGTCTTTATTATCACTCCTGTTCAGGATGTTTTTATTTCAGGTGTTTCAAAAAGGAGAGGAAATTAATTTAAAGCAGAGAAGAACAAGATAATAAAGGTTGAATTGAAGTGTGGTGGTTTGTCCTTGGATTGCTCAGCTGAGGTGTTCACAGACCTGTAGGTCACATTTTTACCACCCGTCCTCTGTGTTCTTATTATTCATTTCTCATGCAGCCGCGAAGCCCTTTTAACATTTAATTTGTAGACTGGGTATACAGTTTTGGTATCTGTAAAAAAAAGAACCTTTCAGATATCCACAATGTAATTTTTGATGTCTGGATATCTGCTTTAGAATTCCTACTGGAGAAAACTCTTTTGGATACGCTCCAGTTGTTACTAGTCCTCATTTTAAATTTAGATATCTAAAATGGAAAACCATTTCAGATATCAATGTACTTTTGAACATTGATGAACAAAATAGACTGACTTGTAAAATGCTGTTTCACATCCTTACTTTTAGTAATAATGCAGCTGTAAATATCCGTTTATAATATTTTAAATTGCATCAACATAACCTAAGCCACACCACAGCCAGACTGGAGAATTGGTAAAATGATCAGTTCTGTATGATTTTTGTATGAGGTTTGCAAAAATTGTGGTATGTTTATAAAAAGGTCTTTGGGAGCTTTACTGAATGTAACCTAGAGCATAGAATTTCAGAACTGAAACGGATTCGCTGTTAGCCTGTGCAGGGTTAGTCAAGAAAGGCTCCACTCTGAGGCTCCGTTGCTGCAGCCACCAACTACAGATACAATACTAAATGAATGCAATTTCCACATATTGTCACTGAAGTATTTTTACACTCTTAGATGAAATGCTGTTTAAAATGTTACTCAACAGATAATGTTGACTCTTAAAGCATTACCTGACCAAACACAACTTTTCCCTGTAATTGTGATTAAGGGATACATTTTGTTGATCATTGGTGCATATTGAGTAAAGCAAAACGTCTGAAATTCCTCTTGAAACTGGGCCTGTGATCAAATGTAATTTAAAAATGCCAGGTATCAACAGCCACTAGAGGGGGCAGGTCCTTAGACATAAATCAAACCATGCACAGGTTGCATCCTGTATGTAGACAATTAGTATGCACACAGTGCAGTGACCTGTCCTTACTTTCATCGTCTATTTTTGTGCATCATGCCTTAAGAATTGATTTTAGGGTTATGTAATGATCTAGATAGATGTAGCAGCTTTAAGTGAGGGGTTTGTGCTGCTGCTGGTGGCTGGGTCCGCTTCAGCCATGGCTGCAGAGAGTAGCAGCAGCGCGGCGGCTTTAAGACAATCCGGGCATCTCTGCAAGTTTGTGGATGACATCACTGATATTGTCAATAGTGTGAACCGAGAGAGGGCTGGGTGGTGGTGTGTGAGGGCGAGACAGAAGAGCAGCTAGAGAAGGATATCAGCAGCTGCTTTCAGCGTTTCCTGAAACAAAACACTAAAATCGTGACAGTGAGAATCACCCAGAGACGCAGGCCTCGAGATCAGCTGTATTTTTGGCTGCTGTGTATCATTCGGGAGTTGGGATTTGGGCCACAGATCTCCGAGGTTATGAGCCGTCCGAAGCCGCGTTGGTTCGTCGCTGTCCAGGGTCCTGAGTGAGACGGAGCCACGGAGCCTGACACAAACCGGTGAGGAGGGGGTGGGATGGGGGTGCACGTTGACTGGTCAAGGTGCCTGGAGGCTTGTGTGAGGTGGTTTGGGTCAGACAAATAGAGCCAGATAGAGTCGTGCTGGGGCGGGGGTGCGCTTGTTCAGAGGTCCTATATGGAGGGTGCGGTTATGGGTGTTATTACCACATTTGATGGTCAATCACGGATGTACGTGTGTTTCTGCATTTAGCATCTCCCCCATTTCCTCTCCTGTGGTATCTGAAGTAACTGCACAAATGTTCTCGCTGAAAATATCACGTCTTGTTTTTGCAGTCCTTTGCAGCAATAGTGGGCCTCCGTTTATCAACACAGACAGTATATCAGCTTTGGAGGCTGCCAGAGGAAATGAGCTAGGGAAACCAGAGGTAAAGGGTTTGGTAATGTGCAGCAGTGGCTTATTTTCCCTGAACAGTGAATGTGAATGGGATTTATTTAGGTCTACAGTGCAGCCAAGACTGAAATAAACGAACTTAGGCAGCATGTTGCGCAATGTCAAACTGGAGTGTAACCTCTTTTGATAAAAACCCCTCTGTCATTTTTCACTTTCATGTCCATATTTCAAGGCTGTTCAGACAGATAGGGCTTGGATGAGAAAAACACCACTGGTCTGACTTCTGTCAGGGGACTCCAGTCAGAAATTGGGAGTTTATGCAAATGCACAGGACCAGACTTCTCTGAAGTGCTTTGGGGAGACTGTGTGAGATGCTGATCCAGCTTCCCCCTGCAGCTCTGAATAAATCATGTTACACAACTACACGCTCTGTTCTTCTCTGAGCTCACCTTTTCCCCGTGCTCTCCATAAACACTTCACCGGCCTACATTGTTGTCCTCTGAAATGCCAGAATTTATGATCACATCGTCTGAAGGTATAATGACTCGGAACTCAACGAAACATGGCTGGTAGGAGCCACGGCTGCTACACTAGAAATGTTTTGCTTCTTCAGTGGCTTCCGTTATGACTTGGGGAATGAGCAACATTTTCCTTCCTAGTTGCAGTGATTCAATGCAGGCCGCACTACATCACTGTTCTGGATCAGTTATTAGCATTTTTCATTCTTTCTCATCTCTCTGGTTGATTTTTCCTAGGCCTCCAGTTTAATCTTCTTCCATGATGGTACCGCAGCCCCCGGGGCTCATAGCTTTGGGTGTAAAGTCTACAGCTTTGCGTCATAGTGTCCCTTTACTTTATTGATCACCAGTGATTAATGACAACTCCGTGTATGTTTTGTTCTGCCTGTGTGTGTGTTTACCCTTTCAGTGAGTTGAAAAGCTCAGGAGCCATGGAGTTAAGAGTGGGGAACAAGTATCGTCTTGGGAGGAAGATTGGGAGTGGATCCTTTGGAGATATTTATCTTGGTGAGAATTTGGCCTTTTTTTCTGTTGTCAAGAGTCAAGAGAGCCTGGTTGTGTCAGAAACTGCTGATATGTTGCAACTGTATCTCTGTTGTTTGTCCCATCAGGTTCTAACATTGCTACAGGAGAGGAAGTAGCCATCAAACTGGAATGTGTGAAGACCAAACACCCACAGCTCCACATTGAGAGCAAATTCTACAAAATGATGCAGGGTGGAGGTGAGACACACTGAGGAATTTTTCCGGACAGCTTTACCAGGAGCATAGAGAGACCGTGGAGAGTTTTAGGGGCACTATGAGGTTTTTCACTGAGGTTGAAGGGCATTAACATTGATTAGAGTTGTTTAGGATGCACTTAGAGACCACAAAAGACATGTTAGGACTTTTAAGGGCATTTGCAGAGCATCTGCATAGAATGAACAAGAATATAGGTCAGTCGAGAGATATTAATGGTTGCCAGTAGCACTGAGATGTAGTCATGGCTGTTGAGCAGTGTTGAGGGGCCTTGAAGTCTTTCATATTAATGCTGAAATTGACAGAATAAGATAAAATTATATTGATCTCAGAGGTGAAATTCACATGTTCCAGCAGCACAGACTTAGGAGGATTTAAAAGAACACAGATAAGAAATGTATCAATTTAGGAAATTAGGAAAGTAGAGTGATGGCAATAAAACAGTATTCCATGGCCCACCCTGAATTATTCAGTACAACTAAACTCCAGAAATCCAGATGCATGTACTGTATATAAAATAATTTAATGCACTATTATGAATTAGTTCTAAATAGAAAAGAATATAAGAATATAGTAGGAATACAGTATATAGTGATAGAAGTAATATAAATATTTAATGTAATATTTAATAGTGCTATGTTACTACCATATATATTGTTACTTAGCAAGTAATTATGAAACTGTAATATATAGTAATGTACAAGTGGACAGAGCAGCAGAGATAAACAGTTTGCTCAAATGAATGGTTGTGTTAACTAAAAGCAATAGTTTAATTGCATTAGAAAAGAAGAAATGACATGGGAGGGCTGGTATGCTGTCAAAAAGACACCGATCGCTGAGAAGTTGTTGAATGTCAAAATGTTACTCCATTTAAAGATGTAAAAGACAACCAAAAAAGTTGACTGAAAGAAAATTACAAAAGAAAAAGAAAGCAAAAGCAGAAAAAATGAAAAAAGTCGAAAGAAAAAATAAGGAATGAGGGAAGGAAGGAAAATAGAGATGAAAGCAGGTGCATCATTATGCTTCGTTCTTCAACAATAATCCAGCCGACCTTGGGCTGTTGAAAGAAAACTATTTGTCATATAAAAAAAAATGACCTCACCATCAGTGGTAGGAGGCTTCAGCAAATATGTTAATAGAGAGGTGACAGTGGTGCAGTGAGTAGAGCAGTCGTTTCCCAAACAGAAGGTTGAAGGTTCAAATCTCGGTGCCTCCAGTCCATGTGTCGAAGTGTCCTTGGGCAAGAAACTGAACCCCCCTGTTGCCCCTGATGGTCAGAGCCATTGGTTGCGTTGGCGCCCCAGAAGGCTGCCTCAGTTCTGTACCGGAAATACATTCCTTGTGTGTAATGTACTTGGCCAATAAAGGTAATTATTACTCTATATGTAGTAGACAGCAACCAAAGGAAATGGTGAAATAATAATGTGGCCAGAAGCAGTGGATAAATTGTTTGCTCAAAACAAACAAAAACTATTAAAATAGAGAGAACTGGTGAATTATAGTATACTGTATATAGTCATTTCTATTCACAACAGTGGGAATCCCGTCTATTAAGTGGTGCGGAGCGGAAGGTGACTACAACGTTATGGTAATGGAGCTGCTGGGCCCCAGTTTGGAAGACCTCTTCAACTTCTGCTCCCGCAAGTTCAGTCTGAAAACAGTCCTGCTGCTGGCCGACCAGATGGTGAGACAGACTGACTGACCGCAGTCCACCCCATAAACCTAATAGTTCATAAGTTTTTTTTCCTGAGATTCTTGATTCCTCAGTTGCAACTAATGTAACTCCTTTATGTGTCATGGAGGCATAAGCAGGGTTCACTGGCTCTTTATTAGGGGTTCCTCAAGACCCCATGGCTCAGAAACAATAGCCTACACAAAGAATGATAGTTAAAGATGACTCAAAGGTACACATTCAATTCTGCAATAATGTGTAACTAAACGTTTAACTGTCTTATAACATGGCATGACTGCTAGGCCTATATACCTGCAAACAGGATGACAGGGTTATTGATCAGTATCAGTGACTCAGCTATTATTTCACTGGGTAATGAGACACATGACCTTTAAAATCACATTTCAGTTTTTAGACCAAACATTCTATAAATGTGGGAATGTAAAGACCAGCATCGCAACTCTACCAATCAATACCAGTAAAGTTAATTGATGAGCAGAAAAACCCTTTACCAGAACACTCACTAATCTATAAACTTGCATAAATAGATTCTGATTTTCCACAGTGTTTTGTGAAGGTGTTTGAACAACACTCATATATTTCAGAGTAAAAACAGATCAAAACCTCGCTGACTTAAAAGATCAAACCCTCCAGTATTATGGCCACATATGACTCTTTGATAATAGTTTCATTTCCTACCTTAAAGGCAGCCACTGCTTTTACAATGAAATCAGCTTGCAGGCATGTGGAATCTGTGCAAGAAAGGCAATCCATCACTTCAAATATACCATCGCTTTCCTTTTTTTGTCATACTTTTTAACTGTGGTGTGGTAATGATGCTGTGAACAAAGACTGTTGTTATAAATCCTGCTTCATGCTGGTGCATTCAAGGACACTTAATATATTATAGTTACCTGCTTAAGTGCAATTATTTAAACAAGAAACGCCTAAGTACATACAGTATGATAGCTTTCACATTGTCCACATGTGTTCTTTTTTGTGTTTTGGCTTAAATTTGATTCCATACTGGTTGTTAACTTGATAATATCATGGGTTTTTGGAATGTCAGATCATATTTTTCAAATGGCAAGTGTGACAAAATATGAAAGGGGTACTCGATTTTACCCTTGAAGACCAATTTTCTTGTTATGAAGAGTAGTACTCAGCATATAAACTGTTTTATATCATCTTCTGTGGCTCAGATTGTAGTGTTATAAAATCAGAGAAAATAACCCTGATGGTGTCATAAGGGCACCACGAACTGGGCTTGAAACCAAATTTTTAAAAGAAAGCCTGTGTTACGAACTTGGGGAGTAAGATATCTATTTACCGGACTGGAAGGGTCTAACCCCATTGATATACATAATGGGATGTGTAGAATCCAGTGGTTTTGGAAGTTAACCCATGCTGAGGACTAAAGGTCAAGAGGTCTTGACCTCTGCTGCACTCATTTTAACCATAAAAATATCTGTTGATTGTAAGCCATTCAACTTTATGAAAGCATGGTGATACATTTCTGGAGTGCCTTTTTAGGGTCAAGATCTAATCATCATGATCGATTTAGAAAGTCTCAATCTAAAATCTCTTTGGGACAGCTGATCACTAAACTCTCTTCACATTTTCTGTTAATGGGCCACCACATGAAAGACCACCAGTACTTTCCTTTAATCCCCATCTTTCTGCTCCAGATCAGTAGGATTGAATACATCCACTCCAAGAACTTCATCCACAGAGATGTAAAGCCTGATAACTTTCTGATGGGGCTCGGCAAGAAGGGAAACCTGGTCTACATCATTGACTTTGGCCTGGCAAAGAAATACCGCGATGCCCGAACACACCAGCATATCCCGTACCGCGAAAATAAGAACCTCACAGGCACGGCCCGCTACGCCTCCATCAACACCCATCTGGGCATCGGTAAGACATACACACATATGCAGGTTGGCCTAGATATTTGTGTAAGTGTGAATGTGTGTGTTCTGCTAACGCTCCTATGGTTTATGTTCACAGCAGAATGCCAGTAGAATATAGCCTCCTTTAGTTTCCTTACCCTTTTCTTTCTCCTTTTTCTTTTTATCTCTTTCCCCTTTTTTCTTCTCCCCACTCTTATTAGTTTCCTTACCCATTTCTTTCCCCTTTTTTCTTCTCCCCACTCCACCTTTTTTTTGCCATGTAATTCTCTCATCTCTCTCCATTCTGTATTTACCTCCTCAGAGCAGTCGAGGCGAGATGACCTGGAGTCTCTGGGATACGTCCTCATGTACTTTAACTTGGGCTCGCTGCCCTGGCAGGGGCTCAAGGCTGCCACCAAGAGGCAGAAGTATGAACGTATCAGTGAGAAGAAAATGTCCACCCCCATCGAGATGCTCTGCAAGGGATACCCCTGTGAGTACAAATTAGATTATGAGCCGAGAATGTGACACGGTAATAAGATACAGTACAGAAAAGACAAAATGTGATAACAGACAATATAGAGACGTTTTTTACAATAGTTTTGTCACATTGCTTCTCAAAAGGTTAAACTTTTCATCAGTTTTTGCTTCAAATCACCTTCTCTTTCTCTGTCTTGTGTTTCCTAGCTGAATTTTCTACTTACCTGAACCTGTGTCGTTCCCTGCGGTTTGATGACAAGCCAGACTATTCCTATCTGAGGCAGCTCTTCAGGAACCTTTTCCACAGACAGGGCTTCTCCTATGACTACGTCTTTGACTGGAACATGCTGAAGTTTGTAAGTGCTATGCATTTGCAAACAAATTTTAGCTTGGAGTTTTAAAACCTTTCTGCTATGCTTCTGTTCCTGTGTGTTTCAGGGGGCCAGCAGGGCAGCAGAGGATGGAGAGAGGGAGAGGAGGGAGGGAAAAGAAGGTGAGGAGCGAGCAGGCGGAGGCCAAAGAGGCGCTGGAGGGCGAGCTTTGCCGCCTGGTCCAAACCCTTCAGCAGCCAACAGAGTCAGGAATGAGGCAGATGCTGCTCCCTCCAATCCGGCCGCACGTGGGGTCCAGCAGTCAGGTCAGTGGAAGTTTGGAACTAAGTGTGAGATACAACTCTAACCAAATTAAAGCGTTCATCTCAAGTGTGTGGCTTTGTATGTGTGCTACTGCAGGTAACCGCTCTCCTCAGGCTGGAAGAGCAGAACGAGCTGAGCGAGAGAGGAAGGTGGCCATGAGGCTTCATCGTGGGGCCCCCGCCAATGTCTCCTCCTCTGACCTCACTGCACGCCTCGACCAGTCACGCATCACTGCATCACAGGTGGGAAGACTGACTGGGTCAGTCAGTCTTTGTCTTTATTAACAAAAACCCTGATGACTTTTCATTTCTGCCAGTAGAATGATGTATTTAACCATGCTAGCAGCCATGCTAGGTGGCCAGTTGCCCCACCAGATTAGTCCAGATTGAAGTAGCTAAACAACAGTTGGATGGATTGCCATGAAATGCTGTACAGACCATCATGGTTCCCAGACCATGTATACTAATGACTTTGATGAACCCCTGAATTTCCCCCAGTACCATTATGACAGGTCTTTTTTCATGTCTCAACAAATGATGAATGGATTCCCATGAAATTTTGTGCAATCGTTAATTTTTTTTCCATAGAGTAAACTGTAATCACTGTAATTATTGAGCCCCACTTCATCATCAGATTAAGAATTTGTTTCAACCAATACTTTAGTTTTGGGGCAGTGACCCACAGGTCACTTCAACCCTTATGATGTGAATGATTCCACAAAAGTTAAATGCCTGGAAGTCTCCACTCGTCAAGGTTAACTCAACACTTGCAAAGTATAGAGCAACTTCACTGTAAGACCAAAGTGTTTCAGCTTGTGGACTTCAGAATCTCCACCAGTCAGTCAGAGGTGAAGAAGCTTCTCCAGCGAGAGGTGCAGCATCTGCAAGAACCTCAAGCAAGTGCAGTTGCCGACTCTAGCACCACTTTTTGGATATACCATGACGTGGTTGAATAAGAATCTCCACAGACATATGATGAAAACTTTCACAAAACAACAACATTTGCATGTTATTCTAGTGTTCTAATATACTTGTTTGGTTTTATTCAGTAGCTGTCCATTGATTGCACCAGTGAATTAAGTGACTTTGTGATGGATTTCTGATTTGGGGTCCCTGCTGTGATATAAAGCTTGCTTTTCTTGGTAAAAACATGTAATTTCATGGTCTGCTTCTATTCCTTTGTGGGTCTAACCCTGTTCTTAGTGTTTTTTCTATGCTGGTAGCAACTTCTGTCAGAAAGAAACCTCAGTGAAACCGTTAACCAGTCACAAGTAGCTATACTCTGACTAAATGGCACAAATAACTAAATTTAGGCCATCAAGAATGACAAAAGCTCAAGGGGTGTGGGCATGGATGAGCTCAGATGTTAAATCCAATGTACTCTTCAGGTTTCTGTCTTCTCCCTTTGATCTGCTTCAAGCCTCTCATCTGTCCCTCCATATTCAGGTCAGCATGCCCTTTGAGCATCTGGCAAAGTGAGCTTCCCCTGGCTAACCTGCAGGTCAGTGGCAGGTACGGACATGTTTGACACACACAAACAGCAAGCTTATAACACTGTTGTCTTTGTCTGACCCATGACCCCTGCACCCTTCATATCCACAATATAGCTAGAAAAAGTAACTGATGATATTTAGCTATAGTAGTAATTCAACAGCGGTAATTCAAAGCATTAATGATTAATAAAAAATTATACTTCTCCTTGTCATAAGTGGGTCAAAATAATTTTACTTTCCCACTTATAATGCAAAAAAAAAGCTTTGGTCTGTCATGCTACTGTAAGAGGGCATTCACACATTCAGTAAACCCCACAAATGGCCAATCACAAAAGTCAGATGCTCAGAAAAGAAACAAAAAAAAATGAAAATTAGAGAATGACAACTGAAGTGCAAGGAACTTTATGGCCAGGTATTTAAAAAATATATTGAAGTGGAAGATGAAGCACAAGTACAAGTACACCCCCACCACGTATTCATTGAAAGCAAGGTGAGACATCGGTCCTGAGTGTCCACAAACTAGTTACCCACTTGCTCAATTTAGATTTGTGGTCATTCTGAGAAATGTATTGTATGTTGTTTACGACTATTTCAGTAATGTCAGTGAAGTTGGAAAATGAAGTAACAGCATATTGCTGGTTTTGGGCTCTTCATGGGATTTGCTGACAATAAGAAAGATATAGAATATCTCCAATCTTATCCTTTAATTACCCCCTAACTAACATTTTCCTTTGTTTTTCTCTTGTGGTCCAGCAGCTGCAGGGTCTCAAGTACCCTTTACTTTTAAGATGGATGAATGAAAACATGAATGAGTGGAGGAAGAGAAGAGGAGCCTTAGGAGGAGGCTTTGCGGGCCCTTAAAAGGGGGATGGAGGGTGTCCGTGTGACTGTCAGTATGCTGTGTGAGCATGCTCGGTGTTAAAGGAATGCTAGGATGGTAGGAGCACCAGTGAAATAAACAAACACTTGACAAACAGGTTGGTACTGCTTTTTGGGGTGCGGCTGGAGGGCAAGTGGGTGAAACAACACACGGGTCCCCGCCCCTTCTTCACTCATATTCACTTGCCCATCAACTCAGAGGCTCAACTTGCAAAAAAAAACATCCAAATGCACAAAATGGACAAAATTTCAGTTATCCTGTGGTTTACACCTGTAATTCAATAAAAAAAAATGAATCACCTATGAACCTGCTAATGTTTGAGAACTACATTTGCTGCTTATGGTATTCTAGATTATAAATAAATGTTTAAACAACTATGGACACAAACATGCATCCAGGCCTGTACCAGATGAAAGAGAAGGCTATATAATGAACCAAGGAGGAGATCAGAGGGAGTGAGTGAGTCTGAGAGTCTGCATTGAATTTGTGAATGGCAGTGAGGCTGCTTTTTGTCAGTAAACATCAGTGTCTGTGTGTTATCGTTCTAAGTGTTCGTTTTGCCTTCAGCTTTGCTTTAGAGAACCTGAGGAAAGGAGGGACAGGTCTGCCCTGATGTGATTCAAATAAAAGATCCTCTACTGACTTACCTAGGTGAGAGAGTCCAGGGGAACTGAAACTGAAAAGAGCAAGAAGAGGAATGAGGCAGCTTTAAGTTGAGGACAGGATGAAGGGAGAGCCATGAGGATTGTATGATATGTTAAAGTCTTAGTCCAGCTTGTACCTGCAGGTATGAAAAGACTTGAGAAAGGTGTAAGATCTTGGTGGTGAACAAGTCATTTGTTACATATTTCGTTTTGCTTCTTTTGTTTTGTAATACATGTAAAATGTGTAGATATCTTTTGCCAGAATGTGACAGATTGTTTACAGCTGAGGCTGGAGAGAAGAATGCTGTTTACTTCCTGAAAGCCCTGAGACAAAAAAAGAGAAACTGAAATTTTGACCAAGAACCTTTAGAGTCTGCCAGGAGTGTGTGTTTTGGTTCCCACTGTGGCAGGCAATGACAGAATGTTCTTGGTAATATTTCGAGGGGTGTTTGACCCAGGCCTGTCAGGATGGTTGGGTGTCACTGATGGGAAGGAGCTGCTTCATGCTTCAACTTTAATACTATGATATTTGTGTATATTTTCTGAATCAATAAAAATATACACAACTTACACAGATTTCTGGTTGTACTGTATGTTTCAGTTGATGGCAACATATTTTACAATTTATATTTATAATTTCATAGAGAAAACAATTTAGTTTGATATATTTTACCTTACATTTATCTCTATTTATTTTTTTAAATATTGTACTCCTTTGTAACCCCATAAACTTACTTATTTTAATTATTAAATTAGATGCTAACTTTTTTGGTCATTTAAAAAATAGTTATGTATAATTGGCCTCTGTTTATTGTCTTCTGTGAGAAAATGATCCTGATTTAAATTCAGCTTGGATTTGTAGACTTGAAATAAAAATAAAAAAAGCCTGTTGCATGCTTTTAGCCAGACATGGGCATTTACCAGGCAAGATGGTCTAATAAAAGGGACCAACACTAATAGCTATATTAATATATGCTGTATAAGGGTTGATCACATTTGTAATATTTGTATACTCATGCAGTAGATACAATTACCAAATATTGATATTATACATCAGACTGTTCACAGTTTAATGAAGATAATTCCACATAAATTTATTTTTTTAAGGTAGGGTAGGTTTTACCCACCCTTTATTTTACCACAACAGCCCTAACAACATTGCTTTGAGTGAATTAATTAACAGAGTATAGTTTAAACAATACAAAGAAATGTCTTATGCTTGGCAAATTATTTTGTGGTGATTAAACTACACTGAGAATGATGGAATCACAACTTACTGTATATTGCATATTATCTAACATATTACTCCTCCTTACATGATAGCAAATTATTAGCTGCTCTTCAGCACTTATTAGTATTGATATTCTTGATCCTGGTCTGGAATTATAAATTTAATGGTATCCTCCATTTCTACCAACTGTGCTTTTCCTTCTGGTGTCAAAATGTCTGTTGTGAATAGAGGACTCTAGAGTTTTTACATGGATTTCCTTACAGTAGTATAACTGCAAATATCCAAGATAACGTAATACAAGTAGACCTACCACATATTATCATGGCGATAATATGTTGCCCACACACTAACTATACAGTGTGGACAGGAAGCGGTAAACAAATAATTAATCACATTATCCACAAACAGTGTAAGAGCACTGTCCAGCTTCTTCTGTACGTCACCCACCGAGAATAGACCCGCGCATGCGCGGTATTAAAAGCACAATCCCCGCCCTTTTCTGGCTGAGTCAGCAGGTGATTGGCTGGGCCGAAACATCCTCGCGGAGTGGGCGGGGCCGGTCTGATAAGAAGTTAATCCGACGGGGATTGGTTTGTCAACCTAGTGGAGAAACAGGCACAGGGAGAGGTGACGAACTTCACAGTCCGAACTGTGCAAACCTTGAATTTAGGCGCTGTAAATGGACAGACACGACCATCACAAGAATAATATAGAAGTTGTGTAACGCGGATGATAAAGTTTAGGAGTGAGGTTTTGGGGGAGACCCAGAAGTTGACGGGGCAGTCCACCGAGGGCTCAACATGGATGTCCGGGGAGCAACGGTGCGGCACTGAAGAGGAATTAAGGCCGATTGTAGGTTATTTCTGGTTGTGACTTTATCTGCTGGATCTGAGAAGGATTTTAAAGCAGCAGCCTATTTATAAGGTGAGTCTAGTCTTTCACACAGTTGAGAAATGCTTACTACAAAAACACGTCTTTACCCAACTAAAGAAAGTTTGTCCCTTTCTCAATTCCAGGTTTAAACTGGTTAATCTGCGAATTGTTGCGGCAGACGATTAGCAAAGGTGAGGCTTTGTGGTTCATTTGAATTTGGGTTTAATTTCCATGTTAACTGTTATTTAAAGATGGCAAGTCAGATTTACCCGAGAGATAGATTTGAAATAACTGTTGTGGAAACTAAAAATATGTCAAAATGTGTTAGTGGCTTTCTGCTGAACAAATCCCAGCATGTTGTTGTTGTTGTTACTGCTTAAACCATTATGATAATCCAGTCTGGCTGTCACCCATCCCATTACTTAATATGAATTATAAACACACCCCTACCCTGTCTGCCCCCTCACCCCTTCCCATCTGTTGCTTTGCTTTATTCTTGACCCTGTGTCACTTTGATATATTATTCCTGTGTGTGTGTGTGTGTGTGTGTGTGTGTGTGAGACCTTTTTGCTTTGCAAAAGAAACACACAGATGTCCCTTTGCTCCAGTACAGCATCATGTCACTGTCACTGGTATTATATTTGTGTATGTGGATGCCGATGCCTTCACTTGTTCTTGTTGACATGCAGATTGCTGATCCATGGCAAAGCAATACAAATGACCTGCTGTCTTTCTCTCTCTCTCCCTCCCTCTCACACACACACACAGGTTACACACTCAAACAATGAAACCTTTGCTCCTCTCAGTTTCACATATAAATGCATGAAAGCAGCCTAATTAATTTTAATGGAACCAGCACATTTAATCACTTGATGTTAGTATAATTAATGTTCTAAAACAGCTGAATGGTGGCCTGTGTGTGGGGGATAACATTATGTCAGTCTGTCAGTGTCCATGCTGTTTGTTCTCTGTGCTGTGTGACTTTCAGTTGCCACACTACTCCAGCAGACAGACATGATGGATACAATGAATGGGGACCTCTCACTTTCTCTGCATTTATATCAGTTGTTTCTGTATTTACCATCCATCCCCGCCTCAGTCTTACATGGCACTGTCTGTCAGTGTACAAGAACAAGTCACACACACACACACTCATAACTCACTGAAAAGTTGACCTGTAGTGTGTCTGTGTTTATCCTCTACCTGTCTTTGTATGTCAGATTACACATAGCATTGATAACACAGTATGTGTGATCTATGTACCAGGTTGACAATTACTAGGATGTTCATACGTTATTGATTGTGTCACAGCACAGTCACAGTTTGAACATACAAGCACTTTGAGCTACTTGGATGATAGGTCACCTATTCTGTCCACCTGTATAGATGTGAAAACTGAGACCCTCTGTGTTGCTTCCAGATGTTGAGGCTGTGGAGGCGAGACGTACCGCTGTCAGAAAGGCTGGGGGAGGATTCGCCTCTGGCTGCAGCACTTGGCCCCCCACCCACGACAGCCCCAACAGGCCCCAACATTTCATGGCTCCCTGAAGCCCCATTGCTGAGCCCGGACCAGCCCATCTTCCTCATGACTCCTGCAGCGCAGGCTGTGTCTGGCTTTTTTGTGTGGACCGCACTCATCCTCACCTGTCACCAGGTAACGGCTTCCAAACAGCACAAGAAGAGAGGGGTGTATAAATGACCAGATCTTTAATTCTATTTAAGCAGCGTGATACTGTTTTGTTAGCTCAGATAGCGTTACGGGCGGTAAAGTCTGGTTGAGCAAACTGGCACATTTAAACTGGATTTGCCAGGAGGTGTGTGCTGTTTAATGCACAGGTGATGTGATCCTGTAAACATGCATATCTGCTCAGGCTCAGAGACCGGCAGAGGTTGCATGGCAACATACCTCGGGGGTGTTTTGTGATATGGAGCATGAATACTCACAAACACATATACAAAGGTGTAAGGTGATACAAGTGGATGAAAAGCCCTGGATGAAATCTAAAAAAACAAAACAAAAGAAGTTGAAATAAGTTAGAGTCTGGAGTGTTTCCTCTCTCACATTCCTGTGAAATGTCAGGTCATGTATTGATTGTTGAGGTCAGTGATACTCACAGTCTGTTTACACCAAGTAGGCAACAAGGCACTAATAAAATTTTAACATCTTAATAATTTCCAGTATTGACAAACCAGTTGAAATTCAACGTTATCTGCTTGTTCCAGCCTGACTTGTAAACTGCTGTCTTATCTTCCAACACATGAGTTCAGCCCCTTTAATATACTAGGATTACTATTCTACAGCTACATTATATTTGTATTTATACATTATACATTGTATATTACCAGTAGGCAAGCCCCAGAGCTGTGCAGTATTTTAAATCATGCAGCCTGCCCCTTGCACTCTATTGTATTCAGATGCAGTGCAGTTAACATTTTTAAAAGATGAAGTCAGTACTTTTCTGTCTTTTCCCACAAATTCCATACTTCAGTCTCTAGAGTGAGGAAGAGAAGAGTCAAGTGCACGTGCACGGGCTTCTCCTCTATTTGCACTACTTCTACAGCGCAGCTACTCAAAGTTTCATGGCCAAGGAACATGTCATCCAGTGCAGGGGTGTGGCTCACTGGTGTGGTGTAATAGTTTTTGGATAACAATGAAGGTTTTCTGTTCAAGGGAATAAGATAAACGACGGTGTTGGTTCACAGACATTACACTGACTACATACAATTAATAGTTTAAGTCTTTGTATGTGAAAAATAATAAAAAAGAAAGTCTCTGATCTTATTCTTTAAACATAACTTATCCAAAAAATATGAAATAGTCAGTTTAGTTTTTTTCCTTAGATATTGTTTATTCATTTACTTACTTATTGTGTAGACATTGTATTTTATTGTTCTGTGGACTCTCCCATGAGTTGTGTCCACAATAAAAATAAAATTCAACTGAACTGAAACAGTCTCTTCTTTCTGTCCAGATCTACATGCACCTACGTTTCTACAGCTCACCCAGGGAGCAGCGCCACATTGTGAGGATCCTCTTCATTGTTCCTATCTACGCCTTTGACTCGTGGCTCAGCCTCCTCTTCTTCACTAACGACCAGTACTACGTGTACTTTGGCACCGTCAGGGATTGCTATGAGGGTAAGGGGTGTGATCTTTTGTTTATGCTGTGGAGCTCAGTCTGAGACCGGCTGAGATGCATCGTCATTAACACCACAGATTCAGCAGATAACTAGGGCAGGGGCAAAAAGTCGATCTGCTCCTGTGCCAGGACAGTTCACAAGAACAGCTCCTGCCTAAAGCTCATGATAACCAGGATGTGTTGAGTAAACACATTTAGTGCCAGTTGTTTTGATACCAATAATGAATAGGGTTTACTGATTAAAATCCTACCCAACCAATTATGGGCAACTTTTCCAGCCAACCTGTTGAAATGCACTGTGACCATGCAGATTGGACTTGAACAGCCCGTCCACCCATCCTGAGCACATTACTCCACCCACACAGGGAATGTTTGTTTTTCTGTGCTCTTTCACCCTCACTAGATTCCTGCCTTTTCTGGTGTATTCTGTTGTACCCGGTACTTTTTACCATGCTA